CCAGGGGGGATGGCCACCTGGTAATCCCTTCTCCTCCATTCTCCTCTCTGGATCCTGGGCACACATGCACATTCGCCCAGCCTGAGTTTGAGTCACCGGGTCCGGGACTTGAACTGTGGTCAGCTACATGGGAGTCCAGCAACATAGCCATTACGCCAACTGCTGGTCCCAAGAAGTCTGAACTTTTTAATATAATCGTAGTGCTACAATCACATTAAACAAAAAGGTCCTTCCTTGCTACTTGTCATTTAATTCCCAATACCTTAGTTGAATTTTCTTAAAGTTCTTGACTCATGTATGGTCTACCAGGAATGACTAATGGATGGGAATTCCAAGATAATTAGGAGAAACCAATAAAAATTAGAAGACGAAAAGGTACCCAGAGCAAGACCATTTTGCTTAAGCATAAAGATGGTCCTGATTTTCTAAGAAGGCATAAAAACAGAGGTTGGTCACTGAATACTGACCTTGGTGTCTCAACCATTACCCTCACTCCTAATGTGTACTCGCTGTATAATAAATGAAGGAATTTGGACTGTAGTGTAGTCAAGGCTGACTAAACTGTGACGTCTATACAAAATGGATACTATAGGTATGTGCTTGCTTGTGCAAATTAGCCACTTTGGTTTTTCACCTGAAAAAAACCCAAAAACTCCATAGAAAAGGTATAAGGAAATAATTCAAGGGAACAGACTCATTTACAAAAAAAAAGACTACACATTCTTCCTCATTAAGTTATCATTTAATATAAATGCTGACAGAAAGCAGATAAAGACCTTGAAGACACTCGTATATTTACAATCCAAAAGGTGAATCACCTCCTTCTACTGGTTAAATAAATCTTTTTATCTGCAACTCATAGGAACCTTAAACACTAATTAGGAGCAACATGAGGCTGAGTCAGTAAAGAAAGGAAATAACATTTTAACAAAATGTGGCATCTTTTGAGATAAACAACATGCACACAAATAATATAAAATTGAACAAGATGGCCTTAATCTTCTGGAAAAACTGCAACAAATGGAACCATTTATCCAGACCCAGAGTTCTGCTGTCCTAAACATTCCTATTTCTTTTCTCACCTTGTTTTGAAGGCTATTTAAAAAAAATGGGAAGTAACAGGAAGTAAAGGAAAAAAAAATGATCTATTTCAAACAGGATTCTTGTCCTATTTCAAAAGAACTTTCATGAGACAGTCTTCAAAGAAGATTTCACAGTTTGCCAGGTGCTATGGATTATTCATGGCTTGTGAAATTCCAACCCATTATTTACTGGTCATCACTTCTTTTTGGAAACATTTTGAAAAACTAACATTTCACAAACTTCAGCAATTTAAAAATCAGCTATCACTTTAAGGCTCAATACTTGTAAATTTCTGAACTTGTGGGTAAAGGCAGGCAAGAAAGAACAGGGAACTGAGGAAATAAAAAAACAGGAATGTAAGAAAACTTTTTAAAAAAATGGTATTTTGTCTAGCACTGATATTTAAGGACAAGAAATATAAATTCTCACTATCTGAAACTGATTTTCATAAAGTCACTTATAACCTGACTCAAATCTCATGGGCTCCTTTATTAACCTAGATTATTTTTGTCTTGTTAAATATACCTCTGCAGGGCACAATCACATACAATCAATACGATTGGTAAATAGCACAAGCTCTATCCCAAGCAAATATGCATTAATGTTAAAAGTTATTTAAAAAACAAAATAAAGTAAAATAAAATCCACCCAAAAAGGTGATAATGACGGCAGAATGTCTCAGGGGAGACTGGTATGATCCTGAAGACCAAATTGACCATCGTCAGAGTAAGGGCAGTAGGGGTTACAAGAGACCATACACAGGAAGAGGGATCTCACAACTGGAAAATGTTTAAAGTGGGTGAAAGGCTTTATTACTTTAATTCATTTTTTCCCCATTTCTCTTCTAAAAACTCACAGATTCATCATAAAGTAAGATATGAAGTCCATGAATCAATGAATAATATGAAAAATAAAAAATCACTTCCAAGTTCCTTTCATTCCCAAAGTGGAAAGAGAAAAAAAGGATAAACGGGGAATACTTATGAAAATGTAGGCAGCAATACCTGGGGGGAAAAAAAAACACTCCCAGGACAGAGTCTTAGTTGAACAGAGGATGTGTACATAAGCAAAAGCAGTACATGTCTTCAAATCAGAGGAGTATTTTATGGAGTAGTTCAGTTGTTATTGTGACAAGGGTAGCCACTAAATGGAAAGAGATGACACCATAAATGGTGACTTTTAAAACACAGGAAGAAAAAAATCTTGCAACCAATCATCTCCCCAACCGTTTATTTCTATCCTTTCCTTGACCACTTTCACTTACTCACTGGGGTAAGGGCAGGGACCGCCTGACAGTTTCCAGTTATAAGATGACTCTGTGTGCACAACCTGGAGTGGATGCCAAAGACTTGTGAGCTCTGTCTGCTCAGAGTTTAAAAAACCAACAAAAGCCAACCAATACAAGAAAGCAAGTCACTTTATCTAGTATACATAAGCTCTAGGGTAACAAACTCCACAGGATTCTATTTTTTAAAATACACATTTCTGGACACAATACCATCTTAAGGTTTCATTCTTTGTCTTGGGTTATTGCGCCTTATTGTCTTGTGAAAATAAATGTTGCTACTCTAGGGCTGTTTTCTCATGGATAAAGTTTAGAGGAAATTCAGTCTGGCTGAAAATCCAGAGGATCTGAAAATAAGGACTCCAGTGGAGCAGTAAGTCCCCTGACCACAACAGGATTTCATAGGGCTCTTTGCCCACTCTGTTCAGTGCAGCATTGAAAACCCATCTATCAGGATCACATTTACTATTAAAAGGTGTCACTATTCCAGGTGGTGGCAGTTTACAATTCTTTACTAGTTATAGCTATTCATAGTTATCAACTAGAATATATTACTAATGACATATCTTTAGCAATCAAAGAAATAAAATCTTTACAATCCAAATCTTAGGTTGTAATTTACTACAATAGTACTTTTGACAAAAAGAGCCTTCTTTTTGAAGTGTTTCAGAAAGGCTGAATTGAGAAACATTTTTAATGTTAACTGCAATCCACCTACAACTCCTAGTAAGTCATTTAAGTAGAAAAATGTCATAAAGCTGAGCTGAAGCAACAAAATACAGAAATCCTAGTTGTCCAAGGAAGAAAGGGAAGAATGTGGATCAGCACAATGGACACTCAAGACAGCAGTAGATCGCTTATTTGTTCAATCCTTAATTTTGAGAGTAAAACTTGTTTTAGTTTAGTAACATCCAATTTTTATCTTAAAAGGTTATTAGACAGACTTTTCAAATGAAGAGATCACCTTGTACCACTGTAATCATGCATTACCAACTAAAAATTTAACACTCTTGGATTCTTTTTAGGTAAAAATCTAAGTGAACAGAACAATTTCCAGGCAGGTTATTAATTTCTCCTAAAAAGTAACAGGGTTAATTCTTTTAACCAAATATAAATTATTACAGGTGCTTTTACAAATAGATTTTATATATGAAACCTTTACTTGACCCTTTAAAATGAGCAAAAGGAATGTGAAAAAAAGAGAGAGCTCCATCCATCACCATCTGCAGGTAAGTAACAGTAACAGCAACCTAATGTTCTTCAGTGAAAAAGATCTATTTTCTCTGAATCTCACCGTAATCTATCTGAACACACACTGACTGTAGATAAGTATTTCTCACCAGTCACATAATCGAGAATTCTTTCGCCCAGTCCCATGACCTGACCATAGTGATAGGAGGTTGTCCCTTAGGCACAAGTGGAAAGAAAAGCAAACAAACAAAATAACACAGAATATGCTATCACAAAAAGATAATCTCAAAAAAAAAAAAAAAGCAATGGGGTGGGATAGGATGTTTAGAAATGGTATTGTAAAAGATGACATGCACTGATTTAGAGAAACTGATTAAATTTTCATTACTTTTACATTTTATAAGGCCAGCTAAACTTTAATAGTTAACTTTACATATATCTACATACACAGTACGATCAACTCACAAATACTAAAAGGTTTCACAATCAAAATGGCTACTACTTCCCCCCAAATCAAAACAGAGTAAAGCACAAGTCTTTGGCTCTCCTTTAAAGAAAAACAGCAGGTTACCACTCTTAACCAGGCCTTTGTTTGCCTACCAGTAGGGCAAATACCACATTTGTGCATCACTGAGTAATAACACCATTAGAAAAGGCAACTTCACAGAAGTTATTGGCTAAGCGAATTCATTTGAATGATCTGTTTTGAGGCAGCAAACTGTCACTGTTGCAGATTGGGGAGGGCAGTGGGTAAGTTAAGGGAAAACCACAGGATGGAAAAGGACCAGGAAAAAAAAAAAAAAAAGACATCCACGGAAAAACTTAAAAGTTAAACCTTGAACTCCAAGTTTGAAGATTTGTGGGAAGTCAAATGAAGTTACGTACTCAAAATGGCAAGTTACAATCATATCAATTTTGTCTTTTAGGCAAAAAAATAAATACATGGAAAGTATAGGAGAAGGGGAGGGATGTAAGGTGGGAGAAAGGAATCATCCACATTAAAGTAACAAATTTTTATACAGTCTGAGTAGTTGAATATTTGCAGGTGGCATTAGTAACAGTATCTTTTCATTTGATTAATATTACTAGAGATCTATGTGGTAACTATTATTTTACTTAGAAAAATAATTAAGAATGGCTCTTTGGTCACCTCAGCCTCTGTATATTATGTAACCCACGGGATGAAAAGGGCCCGGAAAAAAAAAAAAAAAGACATCCACGGAAAAACTTAAAAGTTAAACCTTGAACTCCAAGTTTGAAGATTTGTGGGAAGTCAAATGAAGTTACGTACTCAAAATGGCAAGTTACAATCATATCAATTTTGTCTTTTAGGCAAAAAAATAAATACATGGAAAGTATAGGAGAAGGGGAGGGATGTAAGGTGGGAGAAAGGAATCATCCACATTAAAGTAACAAATTTTTATACAGTCTGAGTAGTTGAATATTTGCAGGTGGCATTAGTAACAGTATCTTTTCATTTGATTAATATTACTAGAGATCTATGTGGTAACTATTATTTTACTTAGAAAAATAATTAAGAATGGCTCTTTGGTCACCTCAGCCTCTGTATATTATGTAAATAGGGCAGTTACTGGACTTAGACAACATCTATAAATTAGGCAAAAGAACTACATGTAAGATAGGAAACTGAATCTAGATGTCTTATTTTTAGTTCTTTTACCTTCCCCCAGAGACCTCTTAAGAAAGAGTTAACTCAAAGTACTTTTATGTATCTCACAGTAATGAAGTCCTGGTTTTGTTATCTAAATAATAGTGAACACAATGCTAAACATTCCTACCTTAACCTTTTCAGAATTGTTCATCTGAGGTGTCCAAGTCTTTTTTTTTTTTTCAATTCGGTGAAAAGGAAAGTCCTCTTTGAAATAAATTAATGTTTTAATAAGCAAAAAGCATAAAAACTCTATTTCCTGATTGGTTTCTGCTCTAACTTCTTCTAAAAGCACAAATAAAATTAAAAAGTCAGTAAAAATCAATGCCTTTCAGATTTTGATGGGGGAAAAAAAAGACAAAAAAACAGTTAAGGACTCAAACAGTTCTTAAACTCATTGACGAGCACTAGAAGAGCTGTAAGAATTTTCATTAGGTAAGGTGGAATGACCATTTAAACTAGATAAATGATAGGCATACTAGGACAGTATACCGTTCTTCTACCAAACCAGGTTGCTTCTTGAATGTGGAGCCTTCAAGGACTATAGCTAGAATTCAAACTACAATTTAAGATATTTCTTTTCCCCAAATGAAAATACATAAAAAGAGAAAGATACTGTTTTAAGTCAAGTCTAAACAGTGGCTATTTTGGTTTTGTTCAAAATAGGAAATCAGTGTTAATTAATCCTTGCTCCTGCTTAGCTCACAAATTCAAAATGGCAAAAGCAAGAATGAGTGTATTTGAAGGAAATAAAAACAGTAACAGAAACTGAGTTAAGAGGAATTTCAATACATACCCAAGATAGAACTTTACCTTTATTCTAAACTTCAACAAAATCAATACCCATAAATTCACTCCCAATACCAGAATCATTCTAAATTTCTAAGTGCTTCTAAAAGGCAGGAGTTATCTGACATATCCAAAGAAGAAATAAAACCCGCCCAAAACTGCGTATTGAAGGTTGGAGGTCAATAATGTTGCCTTTTTTGGTTATGTAGAGAAATGGAAAAATCTCAGGATTATATAAGTCGTAGAAAAGTTTCTTTCCTTCTCCCAATACACAATAAGCAATTAAAATATAAATGCAAGAGGTTTAAATAGAAGTTAAAAAAGCAAAATAAGCAAAAAATAAAAAAATTCACAAATGTATTTAAAAACAAAAGGGAAATGTATATATCAACTGAAAAAATGCCTCACCTTCATTCAGTGCTTCTACCTCCCAATCAGTCATTGTATCGCAACAGCTGCGCTCATGCGAAAAAATCCTTAAAACATACCCAATATATATACAGATATAGCTATGTATATATGTATATATATAATATATATATAAATTTTTATTTAAATAAAAAAGAAAGCTCGAATCCCAAGCCAATATGTGTATATCAAATCCTTGACCAGCCAGGTCTGTAGGGCATAATCAAATTCAATGTGAAATAGTATATAAACACGGTGCCTTGACTGGGCAAATTAAACAATCGCTACTCACATGAGTGTTCTGTTTGGACTCTCCTACTGGTAGGCAATGGCAGGATTGTGTTACCCCCACACCCCCCCATTCATTTCAGTTAACAGTATGATGGACACAGAGCTTAGACTGAGGTGGTTATAACCTCAGCAGAAGTTAAGAGTTAAGAAAATAAGAAACAAGAAAAATATAAACTCTTGCTTTTACCCAACCAAAGCAATGCAGTAACTTATTACATAACCAGTGCTTTCTGATTTAGTAGTATAATCCAGAAAGGGCAATTGAAAAAATCAGGCAGGCAGAGGGATGGAAAGAATGGACTACATGAAACAATCCCCACTAAATATGTTTCACGGAATCTCAAATAAGTAGACACATGGCATCAGAATATGTGCAGCAGAACTAAAAAATAAAAATAAAAAAATCCTTCCTTACTGTTTTCAATCTTTTTTTGTGAAGCAATCTCTCAGTACTGGAAAGTCAAGTCTATGAAACTGACTTTGAGGTAATATTTACTACCTGCTTATGTTAATGATTCTGAGTAGCAACAAATAATCAATTTGTAAACAATCCTTAAGACCCGGGCAGTTAAAAAACAAAAAGCAAAAACAAATTAAAAAAAAAAAAAAAAGTACTCGGGCATATCATAGTTGCCACATCTCTTTGCAAGTTCTAGTACCCAGGGACTTTATTTTATACTTTTAGATTTTGAGTGTAAAACAAAAACGTCCACTGAAATAATGTGACTGTTCATTTGAAGTTCAAGTCAAGTGATGCAGTTTTAAAACATGGTGGACTGCCCCGATTTTGAGCATTCTATGACTTCAGTGAAAATTTAATTTGGGAAGCACATCTCCAAGTTTACAACCATGAGCTCAACACAAGCAATACACCAACCATGTATTTTCAGCGCTAGTAAGTTATAGTTCATTCCCGAAGTAATCTTCATTTAAACAGACTCAAAATAACCCAAACACTGAATCTGTTTTCTGATTATATTAAGAAAATACAAAGAGTCCTTCATATGGGAATGGAAACGCTTAAAAATTATCCGATAATCTTCTCTTGGAGGATAAATAAAAATTATAAAATCTAAAAAAAAAAATTGTTCATAAGAAAAACATATCTATCCATGAATCTGCTGATTTAGAAAGGAAAAAAATTCCACAGAATAGCCCTGGAGTTGGTTTGCTGCACATTTTCTAATAACTCAGTCTAACATCCCTCTGTTGTTTCCCAAGCACCACAGAATTCTCAGGAAGGCTGGTGCTTTTTGTCTGTTTCAGCTTATGGGATGGTGACAGTTGAAAAGGATAGGGGGTAAGGAATTATACACTGGGTATGTAATAATACCAAAATACAAGAAAAACCTACTTCATTAAGATCATACAATTAATCAAACAGAGTGTATATATAATATCTTCTTTTTTTTTAAAGCCCTGGATCCAAGGCGTCCAAAGTTATTAAAATAAAGTTCATTCACAGAACAAAAACAAATTTAATCTGAATTGCTTGCAGATACTGCTAATTTTCTTTTTCTTTTTCTTTAAATTAAAAAAATGCATTAATGTGAACTATGTGCAGGGCTTGTTTTTAGTAGTGGTGTTTGTGCACATTGCCTCCGGGCGTTTCTCCTGGATTTTTCGGACCACTCTTGGAGAAAGTTTAGAAGTTATCCATTCTCCTACTCCCATGCCCCATAAATTGACTAGGAGCAGAAGATAAAAGGAGGACTCCTTATGTATTAGGGAGCAGAACTGGGAGTAACTCCTGATCTCTGGGAGTCATTGTTATCCCCTCCTCCCTCAGGATCCTCTGACAGGTTCAGGGAGCTGGTCTTGTTTGACAGGAGGCTGATATTCTCTTGTGTCAAGGCTGATCCATTCGGTACATCACTGTTGACATAAAAAATGTAGTTGGAATTTTTAAAAAGAAGAGAAAATTAAAACAAAATACTTAGTATTGATAGAGTAAAATCAATAGGGTGTATGTATCATTTAGTTGTTGAAAGTTGCAACAAAGACTGCAAGCCCATACCTTAAAAGTATTTACTATTACGACTTTAGCAGGTTTACTAATAAAAAGTTATTTTGAATCTAGGATAACACATGGATTTAAAATAGCCAAAACTCATCCTTGAAAGGAACAAAACATTAGAAATTCTTGTTAGACTATCAGAAGGGCAATTCAGGACTATGCATTCAAAAGCATCAAAATATGTTGGAAGAAACAATTAAAGATGTGCAAAGTATTAATTATAACACTGTTTAGTATAAGATTGTTCATGATAGATATGTATTTTTTCATATCTATAGAAGAATACTGAAGGACACAGTACAGACTAAATTAAAAATCAGAGGTGGGGGGCCTGGAGTCGTAGTTACATTGCTGGACTCAAACATGCCAGTTCGAGTCCCAGACCTAGGGCTTAAAAATCACGCTGGGCACTTGTGTGTGGAGATCTCAGAAAGAGAATAGAGGAAAAGGAATCGCAGCATGGCCATACTCCAGGGGTGGGGCGGGGGTGTGTGTGATTTCTCCAGAGAGCACATGTGCCCTAAGGCAAAAAAACCCTCCAAACAAACAAAAAAACACCAAAAAAACCCTCTAAAAAAACAAAAACAAAAGCTCAGAGATGGTAGGGTTATGGGTAGGCTAAATGTCCTCACACTATTAAAGACTGGAAAGATACACACTTACACTAAAATATTAACACTCATTATATCTCTGGTTGCTGGAATTAGTTTTTTTTTCTTTTTTCTTTTAGGTTTTGGCCATAGGGTGTGTGCACTTGCTGCAGGGAGAGACAAAGAGAGGGAAAGTGAGAAATCACCCCCTCAGGGTGGATGGTCGCTCAATATTCCCTTTCCTGCATTCTCCTCTTGGAATTTTGGGTACTCATGCATACACATTCTGCATGATTTTTAAGCTGCTGGGTCTGGGACTTAAAACTGTGGTCAGCTTTAACCACCATACCACATTTGGGCCCAGGTTGGCTTTTAATTTGCCCCTTTGGAACACATTTAAAATGGGCGGGGGGTATTTTCTACATTTTTTAATTTCAGTTTTTTACAAGAATTATTTACTTAATTTTATTCATTTCTATTTTTTAATTTGGTATAGGGCATGTGCACTCACCAGAGAGAAGCAGGGGGTGGGGAGAGAAAGGGAAAACGAGAAGGCAAGCTGCCAAATATAGGACTCGAACCACATTGGCCATGTGGAAGTCCAGTGCCTCAACCACAACACCACCTGCTGGCTCCATTTTAGTTTTCTTTAACCCTGAGCATATATTACTTTTATAATTAAATAATATAAGGCTGTAGGTTCAATTTTTAAATTTTATTATTATTTTTTTAAAGAGAGGTTTTTGCTATAGGGCACTTGTGCTCACCAGAGAAACAGAGACAGACAGAAAGCGAGAAATCACCCCCTCAGAGGGATGGCCACACCACAATCCCTTCTCCACTCAGGGTTTTGGGCACACATGCACATGCACCTGGTGTTAAGTTTTAAGCTGCCAGGTCTGGGACTCAAACTGCGTTCGACTACGTGGGAGTCCAGTAATGTAACCATTATGCCATCTGCTGGTCCCAAGGTAGTATTTAAAAAAAAAAAAATTTAAAAACAAGGGGAAGAAAGAAATGTAACCCAAAATATTTCTTTTGTTATTAACAGATAATTCAATCTGAGTAAGTTTAAAATTCCTAGACTAATGCAAAAATATTCTTTTCTCAATATACACAGAATAATGGTATTTTAAAAACTATATTCATGGGGACCAGCAGTTGGCATAATGGCTATGTCACTGGATTCCTATGTAGTCGACCGTGGTCCAAGTCCCAAACCTGGTGGCTTAAATTCACGATGTGTGTGCATGCATGCCCAAGATCCCAAGAGGAGAATGGAGAAGGGATTGCGGCGTGGCCATCACCCCTGGGGGGTGATTTCTTGCTTTCTGTCTCTCTGTCTTTCTGGCGAGCGCATGTACCCTATAGCAAAAACCTCTCCAAAAAAAAAAAAGAAAGAAAGAAAGAAAAAAACTGTATTTATGGAGAGCACTTCTGTTATACCTTGATAATATTATTACTTTTCTTTTATGTGTGGTTCAAGACTATGAAAATGTCCCTTTCTATACCTGAATGTCAATGTAAGATCCTCGGCTGGAACCTTGCTTTGTGGTTCTGGTTGTCCATTTTCTGCTTGCTTACTTGCATTCAATTTGCTTTTCATGTCCAGAGAACACTGGTTCTCCTTTGAAAGAGAAGGAAATAAAAGCAGTTATCGTCTATTTAATGATGCTAATTTAAGAGATCAAACATAGGTAATACAAACAAACTGATGATCCTGAAATTATACTTAATTTTATAAATGACCAAAGACAACACACATACTAAAGGAGATGTACCCAAACAATGGAGTACAATCCACGTGGCTCACTATCTAAGCTGTAGAAAACCTTGAGGTAACTTGGAAACTTCTCACAATCAAAACGGCTTGGCCCTGGAGTCCAACACTTAAATGGTATGTACAGGGGGCCAGGTCCCATAGGGCAGACTGAGATTCGATTAGAATCTTGGCCTTAAAAGTTTGAAAAAGGGATTGGAGCATGGCCACGCTCCCTGAGGGGGTGATATTTTTTTGCTTTCTGTCTCTCTGTCTCTCCAGCAAGCGCATGCGCCCTGTAGCAAAAATCTCTAAGTAAATAAATAAAATTTTTAAAAAGCAAAGCAAAGAAAAACATGCTAGTTATGTGTGTTCACACCCGTGTGCACATGCATGCGCACAGGATATCCTGGTACTGTATAGAAGTGGAAGAAAAAAGATTATGGTGTGACCATGTCCCATGCAGAGAGGTGCTTCCCCTCTCTGACAAGCACACTAACCCTCTGGCAATAAAATAAATAAATAAACAATGACTAACCAAAAGTGAACCAAAGTACGCACATTATTTATTTTACTTTTTATTTTGCCAGAGAGCGAGTGTGTTTACCAGAGAGTGAGAAGCAGACAGAGAGAGAGAGACAGAGAGAGGAAGAAAGCACCCCCAAATGGGGCATGGTCATGCTTCAATACCCTCTCATTCATTTCACCCAGTGTTTTTCAGGTGATCAGGACCAGAATTCGTATTGGTCATGAGATTGGTGCCTCTAACTACTAGGTCACAGG